TGTCCCCGGCGGGGGCCGGTGAGGGGCCGCGGGTGTGCCGACGGGCGGCTGGCCGGCCGTCCCCCCCGGGCCCGAAGGGAGCTGCCCGGCCCCAGCACGCTCGTGTGGGGTGCTTCTGAAAAATGCTTCATCTTAATCTGTTGCTTTCCCTCTTCTCTCCTTCCTCCTCCGGCTTCTCCGGGAAGTCTCCCTTTCTCCCGGCACATCTCTCCACCGCCTTGTGCAGGCTTTCTTCCCCTGCATGTGTCTCTCCGCAGTTCTGGAAATGTATTTTTCCTTTCATCTCCTGCTCTCTACTTTTTGTCTCTGCTTCCGTTTCTGATGCGTGTTTTTTTTCAAGCCATGTCATGTGTGCGCTAGGTGTGGATTATTATTCCCCTTGTTCTAATGCTCACATACACAAGAGCTGATGCTTGCCAGCTAAAATTATTTGTTCACAGTTATCTACAACTGATAGCAAATGCTACGATTACTTGTTATCACCCAGAGCTAACATAAAGGGCATAAATATTCTTCTCTGTGAATAATCTCAAAAGCTCTGCAGTAGCCTAGTAGTAGTGCCATTTGTTTTACCTGAACACGTGTGAAACTGTTGTTTTGTGTTGTTGTTTTTTTTTCCTTTTAGAGAGATTTTAATGAACGCTGTGCCCAATGTTCAGAAGTGAACTGGGGTCTCACTGATGGAGGCAGATTTTATTGCAGATCTTGCCACAACGTTACTGAGGTAAAAAGCTGAGCTACAGGCCTTGGAAAAGGTTTATTTTGATTGCTGCTTGTTTTTTTAGTAAGAAAATGTTAGATTTTTCTCCTTGGCATTAGGAGTTGAAGGCAGTATTGTGATTCTTCCTTTTTCATGCTTTACTTGACACTGTTTAAAACTCATGTTCCTTGAAATCACAAAATTTAAAATGAACCATCTTAAGACACTGTGTTGCTGTAGCTGTAGTGCCGGCATGCTGTCTAGATGCCTTAGAAGTATTACCTGGGCATTGCTGCACTTTAGTACAGTACCAGTGTAGGCAAACCCTGATGCATATGACCTGTATGTCCAGGATAGTAATTCTCTATTTTTGCAATTTCAGAATGAAAAGTTCAGAATGTTCTGTCTCTCTTTAGTTTAGGAAATTTGAACAAGTTCTTCCATTATGTCTTATGATGGGGCAATCTGTGCAAGTTAGGCCTGGCTTTTTTTCTTGCTGAGAAAAGAAAAAAATATATATTATATTTATATTATAAATATATTATATATATATATTCCTGTTTTGCAGAGAACTAGAGAAGTTGTAAACACTGATTTTATTTCTAATACAAGAGTCCAGACAATCTCCAATGTTTTAAGAAAGCAGGAAAAAACTGGTATGTATGAGTTTCTCTCTGTATTTTGCATAAGAGTGGCTGTTCAGTCAGGGTTCACCTAGCCCATTATGTCTTTGATGGTGACCAAAAGCAGATAGCTAGGAAAGACTGTAAGAACAGGAACAAAATACAGCCCCTAGATGCTGTCACAACCTTTAGCGGTCACCTTCAGTGACTTCTTGAGCCACAGGTGACCTCTGTGAGCCTGGTGGTGGGTTTTGGGGGATTGAACAGAGCTATATGTTACTTATTGCCACGTTGATTTGTAGAAGCCAATACTGACTGAAGATACTGGTGGCATGTATTCAGATGTGGTGATCCCTTTGTTCCTTCCTTGCGATGGCTATCACAAAACCAGAAAAGTTGTCTGTCTTCTTAAGTGAGATGTGACAGTGGTCCAGCTCTTAGAATGTCAGTCTGGCTTGCATTACAGGTACTTGGCCCTGTAACCTACACACAAACCTGCATGGAAGAGATTTCACGCAGTTACAATAGCTAAACCAATATTGCATCCTTTATCCAGAGTCACTTCTATACTTTCAATTTCATGATTCAGAAGAATAGTAGTCATTATGTATGATGATATATGCCATAAGGATGTTATGGTAAGGCTGCTGCTGGAGCTGTGTATGTATACTGTGATGGCTGGATAGATGTTATACTGTTGTGGCCACTTCCAAAAAGCAAAAATGCATTACAATGCTAAATGAAGCATGGGGTTATTTTTGTCTCTGATATGCTGACCTATCTTTGCTCTACTGCGGTGGGATTAGAACATTTCTTTGAAAAGAACAATTGTGTGGAAGTGAAGGGAGGAGTGAAAAGGGGAACAACCTTACCACCTCCACTTGTCTTTATCCTGTGTTGTTCCTAAAGTCTGAGCTGTGTACCACTTCATGCTTTCTATTTTTCCTGTTAGGAGGGTCATTAGCCAACCCCCAGGCTTCTTAAGAAATCCTTAGCTTCACCCAGTCCCTCCCATGAGTGCTATTACATTATACTATGGCAGCTTATTTTCGTGCATTTATAGGAGTAAGCTGTATCTGTGGTTAACAGTTACAGCCAACATCATTAAAACAGGGCAGAAGCTTTGGGCAGATAACTTTTAAGATGGCGAGATGCAAGGTGTGATTGTAACAAAAAATAATGAACGAGAGGTGTGGAGGGAATGAAAAGGAAGTTGAGAAATGCAGAGAAAATTTCTAAAACCAGAAGCCTGTAGAAAAGGAGTTGTAAATATAGAGAGGTAAGGGTGAAAATTAAATGTAATGCAGTCTGAGGGAATAGTGAATAGATCAGAGCAGGCCCCCTCCTTATGAAATTCATGTTGTGCTGAGATTTGCTAGAAGCTTGAAATAGCTGAGAAAGTTTCTTTAATTTGAATGTGTATGATTCTGTGGGAGAGAATGGTGAAGACTGTGGTGATATTGGTTGGTTTTTGCCTGACTCACCACCATAATGTGTTCCAGTTTTCTGTGCTGGGAATGGGAAAGAAATGATCGTATTTCTTTTTTTAATGACAGGTTCTCAGTTATTTTAAAACTGGTCACATAACTCTCCACTTGATTACAAATGCTGCACTAGAAGTTATAGTGAAATATATTACTATTGGGAAATGTGTGGAGAGCAGTGCTTGCTCAGTAGCTTTTCTTCTTGATTGAGACTGTGAACAAATGGAGTATTCTGTGTACCTGGTCTATGCTCTAGGATCTGAAATTATTGAATAGAGAGACATGTCTCTATCCTGATACCAAGAGAACAGAATATTAAGTGGAAATAAGTGTGCATAAGGTTAAAAAAACCCCAGAACAGTACAAACAAAAAAACATACTTTTTTTTTCCCCCACTTAGATGGAGGCTGTGAATGGTATGTTTGTGAAGGCTTTCAGCTTGTACTCAAGAAACAAGCCGAAGCTTTAGAAGCATTAGGAGTATGTCCACAAATGAAGGTATGTAGATATCAGTGTGAGTTCTACATGCACTGTGTGTATTAGAAGAGATGTTATTTTAAAAGATCATGATTTTTAAAGTGAATTGAACAATGCCCTCTTTAAAAACGTTGAGAATATGAAAACAAACTTAGCTTCTCTGGTAATTTTAAAATGTAGTTTATAAATCACAGTTAATAAAATTAGAGCTGGAACATTATTCAGATTCCTGAGGTAGAAATTACGCTCTGTTCTCTCAGCAATTAATGACCTTGTAAACTTTGTACTAATCACTATCCATTTGTATTTATCAGGATGAAATTCTGTGCAATTTTTGGAGGTGTTACCTTCAGAAGAGCAAACAGGCATATTGCAACAGACCAGCTGGGGAAACTGTCAAAGCATTATCAGTAAGTGAAAAGCTCAAATCACATGAGATGTTGGGTATCTTTTTAAAAAGCAACAACAGAAACCTTCTTTGTTCAAGCTACATATCTAGCTTGTATTAATGTCACTTCAGTATGAAGGATGTCTTCTAAACAGGGCTCCACGTGTCCATTTTGTTGTACGGTTTTTTTTTCCTATTTTGAGAAACAAATACTTCTCTGAATACGGGAAACTGCTTTTTTTAAAATATTGCTTTGTCTTGGCATAGATAGTCAGTAGATAGACCAGAATTTGTAATACAAAATGCATCATCAGTTACCATTCTTTCCTGTCGGCTCTTGAAGTTATTTATTTCATCAAGCTTTGATTCTATGTATTGCCAACTTTCTGGTCATTGTAGCAGATTGAAATGTACTGTAATCACTAGAAGTCTTTTTATCTTGAGAAATCCTTTAAAAATACTTTTTTTTGCAAGGTTTCTTTATGTACTGGTGATTCACAGAGAAAGTAAAAATGTGAACAGTTTGGGTTTAAACTTCATTTACTGTTGATCTTGCATCTCTCATGCTGTATTTGGTTTCTTCAGATTGAAACAGTAGATAATACAATGACTTATTTACAAAAAACAGGTATGTGATAGCAGTACTGATGCGGACAGTGAATTAGAGAGACGTAGCCTTCTTCACATGTTGTCTGTCTCTGAAAGTGAGGGGGATCTACAGACTGATTGCAGCTTTGCCTCATCAACTAGCAAGGTCTCAGGTAGGAGCAATGAACTGGACTATCTGGAAACCATTTTTGCATAGGTTTTTTAATATAAATAAATATATATAAAGTGTATTCATGTACAATGAGTTGGAGGTACTGGTTGGAAAGTGTAAAGTTTTCAGTCCTGTTTGCCACTAGAGTACTTTATATTCTACCAGAAATAGAAGACTTCCCCCCCGCCCCCCGCCCCCCG